GTGGGTGTGTGTGTGTGTGTGTGTGTGTGTGTGTGAGAGAGAGAGAGAGAGAGAGAGAGAGAGAGAGAGAAATAGGTGGAAGTGTCTAAAGCTTATGACCTCTTGAAAAATCCAGGAGTACCAGGGCCACGTAGGTTTAGAGAACAAGCTTAATATCAAATATTTTCTCAGTATTTGACAAAGATCTCACCCACATATTTTTTTAATAAAATATCTCTTAAATGTAATATTTCTGCTATTATCTGCTACTTATATTTTAAATAAAATATAAAATACCTTCTCAAAGCCTGAAAAAGCTGAAGATTTATGTTTGATGAACACAGAACACTGAAAAGATAGTGAAAATGTGTTGCTGGTGAGATATTTCTTAGCCCAGTCAGACAGACAGACAGACTCCTCATTTGCCATTCTTTCTGTCCATCCTCTGTGGTGTTCTAATGACGAGAATTTGGAGCAATCACCCAGAGCCCCACTCACAAAATGGCACAACAGGACTGGCTTGCCAAATTTTGAGGTAAGTGAAGCAATACACATCACCATCTGAAAAAGGGAGCTCCACCCCATTCAGACCATTTAGTCCAGAGTCTGATATGACACAACTGCATCTTCCTTCCTTCCTTCCTTCTGTGGTGTTCTAATGACGAGAATTTGGAGCAATCACCCAGAGCCCCACTCACAAAATGGCACAACAGGACTGGCTTGCCAAATTTTGAGGTAAGTGAAGCAATACACATCACCATCTGAAAAAGGGAGCTCCACCCCATTCAGACCATTTAGTCCAGAGTCTGATATGACACAACTGCATCTTCCTTCCTTCCTTCCTTCCTTCCTTCCTTCCTTCCTTTCCTTCCNCATACAACAGATCAATCATCTTATTATTTACACTATAAGGAAAACCACCTATGGGAAATCAGCATGTGAGTATAAAAGTTCCAACACCCCTCCAGCACTGAAATGCAATGCCATTGATCAAAAATTCAGGAACGGAGGAAGTAATGAGTATTGTGTATATTGGCTGTGTAACTGTTACAATTAGAGTTGGCAATCAAAGCAGATTCCACTCTGAGCAAGAAGGACAAACATATCCTAAGTAGATTTTTACCAGTTGTGTTTCTTTTTTCAAATTTAACCCAACACAACTTATTGTAGGTTTTTTAAAAAGATGTTCTTGCTTGACAGTAGAGAGGAAGAATTCTTAGGGCATTCTCTTTCAGCTTAAGTTGCTTTTTCATAAACTATGCAAAGGGCTTGATAGTTGTGAAAAAAATAACAGTGGCAGTAGAGAATAGCAGAAGGATTACATTTGGTAATGACTTAAGAAACCTAGGCTTATATTCAGTCCATTTAAATAGGTGTCCAACATGCATATACATTTTATCCCAGCTGTTTAGGCTATAAAGCAGTCCACAGACAGAGGGACTAAACCTTGCCACAGACCCAGGAGCCAACTCTGCCCACACATATATTCTAGCAACCCAATTACAGGACCTAACAATCCCAGGCAAAATATCAAAGGTAGCTTCAGTTGCTCCTCAGCTAATGTGATCTATGCCATCTGTTGCCAACAATGCCCCTCTGCACTCTACATAGGACAAACAGAACAGTCTCTATGAAAATGGACCAATAGTTACAAATCTGACATCAGAAACCACAACACACAGAAACCTATCTCCAACCATTTCAATCTAAGGGGAATCTGTTAGAAGATCTTTGCAAGATTTGAAAATCACTATTTTAGAACAGAATTATTACAAATTCAGAATACAGAGGGAAACAGCTGAGATAAACTTTGTATGCATGATGAACACCCATATAAATAGATTGAATAGAAGTCTAGATTTTTTAAACCATTACCAAATTTAATGCTTCTGCTGTCATTTTCTTCATAACTACCTAGCCCATCTCTCATCTCAAGGCTTACAGGTAAAAAAAACAACCCTGTCACTATTCCTACATTAACACACATGAATACACTGCCATCTTCTTTCGCCTTTATATTTAATATTCTCCTTTTCTTCCTGAGTTTTAAGTAAATCCCCAGTCTTCAAACTCAATCCCACCTCTCTTCTCTCTCCCCCTCATCTTTGCCCAGGTCTGATATATGTTTTCTATCTACTGAGGAATTTTTACAACAGAGACGTGAAACAACAGAAGCCATAAATTACTGCATGTAAATGTAACATACATCCAAGAGCCAATCAATATTTAGCATGAAACTGATATTTCTTTCAACATTTCATTCTGTTTCCATATGTCTGATGAAGTGGACTTGTCCACAAAAGCTCACATTAAAATATGTAATACTTAGTCTTATGGTGCCACATGTGTTTGTCTTTTGTTTTGTTTTGTTTCTTTGGATTTTGACTGATACCCTAATGAGGGGCAATGATACAGTGGTGGTATTTTTGCGAAATCATGCAGTGATTGGCAATCTTTTTAAGCAAAGAACACTTGATAATAAACCACAATAAGGACAATGCTAACACTGTCTGAAAAGTACAATCCAAAAACTGGGGATTGGAGAGAGGACCAAAAGGTTCTCCACTGCTTTTCAGGTTCTGAGGCAACATATCTGTGTACCATTTGTAGGGTTACAACAGTATTGTGCTGCATCTGGCTTTTTGACAGATATTTGGGTGGCCAGTTTGGGAAATATCACATTCTACTAGAGAGGGCAGCCACGAAATTAAAAGACACCTGCTTCTTGGGAGCAAAGTGATGGCAAACCTAGACAGCATCTTCAAAAGCAGAGACATCACCTTGCCAACAAAGGTCCACATAGTCAAAGCTATGGTTTTTCCATTAGTGATGTATGGAAGTGAGAGCTGGACCATAAAGATGGCTGACTGCCGAAGAATTGATGCTTTTGAATTGTGCTGCTGGGACAGACTCTTGAGAGTCCCCTGGACTGCAAGGAGAACAAACCTATCAGTTCTAAAGGAAATCAACCCTGAGTGCTCACTGGAAGGACAGATCCTGAAGCTGAGGCTCCAATACTTTGGCCATCTCATGAGAAGAGAAGACTCCCTGGAAAAGACCTTGATGTTGAGGAAGTGTGAAGGAAAGAGAAGGGGACGACAGTGGACGAGATGGTTGGACAGTGTCACTGAAGCTACCAACATCAATTTGACCCAACTCCGGGAGGCAATGGAAGACAAGAGGGCCTGGCATGCTCTGGTCCGTGGGGCCACAAAGAGTTGGACACGACTTAATGACTGAACAACAACAACAACTAGAGAGGGCATTTGATCTGATCCAGAAAGACTGCTTTTGTGTTCTGGATTCAATTAAGAGTAAAACTGGTTCTTAATTTTGGTTTTGTTCAAACTATTGTGGAAAGGCATGGAGAAGCAAAGGATATCTAGGTACAAGGCTGTTTTGTTATATGCACTTGACTATGCAAGAGAATAAAGAAAAAAAAGAAGGCCTCTAGTTCTCATATACCTCATGGTGTGTTGAATGCCCTTCACTGAGTGAGAAGAAAGCATATTTTCTACACATGCTGTTAACCATTCACACTCAACTTGAGCCTCTGGAGATGCCAGATAACCTTTTCTAGCAGCAAACTTTGTTCCAAAACTATTTCCTTTCTTTGAGGGAAATTCAGGATGGAGGACCCCCACAATCCCTCTCAAGTGTGCAGGAGGCCCACACAGTGCAATTGGATTCTTCATTAAAAAGAGACCCGTTGAGGTGTTTTAAGTACAGAGTTTCCTGCAAGGAACGAGTGAACTGAATTGCTCTCCCTCTAATACCCTTCCATTTAATTGATATAAAGAAACTCCCCTTTGGCTATGTACTCCCTTGAAGCCTCACAAGGAGCCTTGCTAAAAAGGCATAGGTAAATATTTTACACAGTGCACAGTGAATTAGGAGCACAACTGCCATTAGGCAGAACTTGGATGGTGCAGCCGTTTTTCCCCCATCATCCCACTCCTCACTACACTAAGCTAAAGATGGATCCCATGGTGCACACAGCCTTCAGTCCCATGTGCCACCTTACAAAGAAGGTGCAGTTCAATTTCATTTAATATTGCATATGTTTCCATTAGCATGAGTCAATTGCTCTCCACTCTCAGTTTAAGACTCCCCCTTTCCTGCTCAGTTATAGCTTTGCTTCTAAGAGGCTGCCAATCCACACCAGTCTGTGTTTCCTTGATGATATAATGCTGTGGCACCTTGGATCCCATTGTTTTCAGGCCACAGGTCCATACTGCAGATTTGTTGATATGCCTCTTTGCACCAGATTTTCTAGAATTAAAATATATCTGTTTATTTTTTTTTAGTGCTGGTTTCCACTGGATATTGCCACAGTGGAATGAGGGTCATCTTTTAAACAAATAGGTCTAGAAGAGAGTTTGGAAGTTACAGTGGTGCCTCGCTTAGCGATGTTAATTCGTTCCGAAAAAATCACTGCTATGCGATTTCATTGCTAAGCGAAACGCGCTTTCCCATTGAAATGCATTGAAAACCAGATAATCCGTTCCAATAGGAACAAATTGCTGTCCTTAAGCGAAAATCGCCATAGGAAACATCACTAAACAAAACACGGTTCCCCAACTGAAATGCATTGAAACCTATTCAATGCATCTCAATGGGGGGAAAATACAACAACAAATTAAAAAAGAGTCAAAACAATGTCACATTTGGTTAACAAAGGGTTTATTAACTGCACTTTATGATTTCAAACATTTTAAACAGTAAACTTTAACTTTATAAATAACAGAAAAACATTTAAGAACAGAACAGTACAGAAACCTTTATTGGCATGCTGCATAAATAAAACGATAAAAACAATAAAATACCGGGGAAAGATTCATTACTGGGGGGAGGAGGAACCAGAACATCAAAGTTGGAGCCCCTCGTTTTGGGGGAACATGTTGCGGCGTCTCTGGATAATGGCCTGGACGTATCTGGCGGTTGATAGAGTGACTTCCT